GAATCAGCATCATGAGTTCATTTTGAGCAACAGGAAAGTCAGGGCCCAGATGACTCCCTGACCACTGACTTGAATCACTGGAAGAATGGTGGTAGCCTTCTCAAAGGACAAAAATCCCAAAGCAGGAGTGGGTTTAGTTTTGCACAAAATAAACCCAGGACACCTTTATGAAGTGATATGTCCTATAGGTGATAAATATCGAAATCTGGAGAAAAAGCTGAGCTAGAGCTGCAGACATGGAGGTCATAAGCAGATAGGTGATAGTGAAAGCACAGAGTCTATAAGTCACACAAAGAGACCTCACGATGTAATTCTGGGAGAATGAGTCGGAGATGGGGTACAAGACTCAGGACAGACTTTCTCTACCACTACTGTGATCTCGGGGCTACCATGATTATATGAATCTATTATTCATGAAATTCCTTGCTATGTGATCTTGGCCCAATCTTTTAATCAGTTTGAGCTTTGGTTTTCTTATCTACAAGATGTGTATAATCATACTCAAATAATAAAGTATTTTGAGACCTAAATTGGATAAACTGTGTTAAGACACCTAGCTCAGAACTTGACACATAATAAACTCTCAAAGGTATATATGTTGAATCTGAAACCAGAAAGCTCATAGGAAATTGGACTCATCATCACCCCAGCCCCAGAATTGCTTCTTCTCCTCTGTCCTCTCTTATTATCAGCTGATGAAGACAAAATCCTGGAAGCTGTTTGTCTCCTGTCCTCCCTCTACTTGACACATCTAATCTCAGCCCAGTCCTGTCAAATCAGTTCATCTCTTGAACACCACAGCCATTGCCTCCACTAAGACCTGGATCACTGCAGAGCTCCTTCCTGGATCCCTTGACTCACCAGTGTACTCTCTATACTGCAGGCACAGTGAGCTTTTCTAAATGGGAAATCTAATATAATGTACTTGCTAAAATCCTTTTCCCCTTTGCATAAAGTCTAACGTAATTTTACTTAACCTCCCAACCTCAAATCTCACCATTTCTCTCTTCGAAGACTATATACTGGTCACATAAATCTACTTGCATTCTAATCACATCTCCTTTCCGGAACCCATCCACTTGACCCTTTCACATACCCTTTAAGGTTCAGTCACCTCCTGGGAGAAGGCTTCCTAAAGCTGGGTTGGGCACCTCTCCCACATGCCCTCATAACAGCCTGTTCTATGTGGCACTTCTCATATTCATAGTCCCTGGTCACTCTCAATAGATAATTTATTACTTAAAGACGAGATATACCTGACTTATTACGTTATCCCTTGAACACAGCATGATCTGTAGTACAATTAAGTGTTTAATATCTATCTGTTTGGATTAATAAATTTAAAAATCTGTTAGAAAGATACATCTTTTAAGAAATTTTGTGAATTGCTTAAAAAATATAAATTTCTTCTTTATCTTTGAAGGCAGAATTTTCAGATGTGTGATCTTGGGCAAGTTAAACCTCTCTTTGTGATTATTTGTCTGTAAAATGGAGATAACAATTATACCTAACTCATAAAGTTATTGTGAGGATTAAAAGAATTAACACATAAACATCGTTTAGAACTGGCCTCGAAAATACTTAAGGGCTCCCAATACTTGCTATCAAGATTTTATCACTGTCACTATTGTTGTTATTGTTACAGTTTTCCTATAAGATGGGTCCCTTTGTGTTTGGCTCCTGTCATGAGCCAGAGCTCAAGACAAAATTCACAAGGTCACAAGTTAACGAATTGAGGAAATTGAAAAGCCATAGGTCAGCAGGAAGAAAAGTCATGAGTCTTCTGACCCTCTCACCGTCCCCATGGAGAGGCCAGGACCACATTCTCTACTGGACACATTGTGGGTAAAGTTTCCAGGCAAGGGAACTCACCCTCTTGTCACTCTCACAGGGCATGCATGAGAGCAACTCTGTCAAGGGGCATAAGCAATCTAGATTTGGATGCCAACTGTCCACAGGACTCATCTGAAGCTAAGGAGCTGGGACCAGTGGAAAATAGCAACCCTCTAGACAGGAGGCAGAAGCCACAAGTCTTATAGGAAGCTGGGTTTTGGTCAAGTACCTACCCCAGAGAAGAGCAAGCTTCCAGTCTCATCTGGCTCCTTATCCAGGAAAACCAGAGTGAGATTATGAAATCATTTTTGGACAAGCTGCTTCATGCAGCAGTTTTTCTAAATCAATATATCCTTCAGCGAGGACTTCAAATGCTGTCATGCTTATACTTTGAATTTATTTTGAATAGGCTGAGACACAGTTTTCCAATAATCTGCTCATCTATCAAGACAAATCCAAAAATTTCTTGTAATAGCAAGGTCAACAATATTTATTAATGTGTCAGGCAATATACTAAATGATAAGCACAGAAAATTTAGAGATATAATTCCTGCTTGTAGGTATGTACAGCCTTAGTGGAAAGGCAGATGAAAAAATTACTGTACACTGTCATGGATGCAATCATAGAAACACGCACAAGACTCAGAAGCATTAAGAAATGACTCTATGGCCGGGCACAGTGGCTCACCCCTGTAATCCCAGCACTTTGGGAGGACGAGGGAGATGGATCACGAAGTCAAGAGATTGAGACCATCCTGGTCAACATGGTAAAACCCTGTCTCTACTAAAAATACAAAAATTAGCTGGGCATGGTGGTGCACGCCTGTAGTCTCAGCTACTCTGGAAGCTGAGGCAGGAGAATCGCTTGAATCCGGGAGATGGAGGATTCAGTGAGCCAAGATCACAACACTGCACTCCAGCCTGGCGACAGAGCAAGACTCCGTCTAAAAAAAAAAAAGAAATGACTATTCAGTTTGATATTATATTTTGCAAACTATGAAATAAATATTTTTTATTTACACAGAATATTAAACCTATAATCCAAGTAAAAACATTGAAGTCTAAATAGCAGATACCATGACAAAAGATAGCATGGGAATCACTACTAAAATTGTATTGGGTTATTGGGTGATAAGAAATTGGAGAGGAAGATGTTATATCATGAGAACTAAAACGCAGTTCTGGGGAGAGGTCAGAGGAAAATGTTGTATGCTAGAAAGAATTTCATTCAAATTACAACCTTGCCACTTACCAGCTATGTGAATTTAGGCAACTTTCCTTACTCCTCTGAGTCTAAATTGTCTCATTCAAGAAATGGGGATAATAATATCTACCATGTTGAGCTATTTTAAGCAGCAAATGAATAAAAATATGCAAAGCACATAGCACATGGTGGATACTCAATACAGGCAGCTACTTTTTTTTCCCTAAGAATATAACCTCACTTGTCATCTATTTTATTCTATGCATTTATAATTAGATAACTGGAAAATTGACTATCAAGCACTCCTAGAGTGGGATTTCGACATTACTTTATAATGGAATTCTGTCCTGTTTTTCTGTTATTTTTCTAAGCTATCCATGATAGTTTTGATGCATTGCAAGTTTCTTACACACATCCTCCTTTAATAGAACGTGTAACAAAATGTCTTAAAATCCACACGTAGTTGGTAGTAAAAGTAGTCAGAAAACAGATGAGAAAAGTCCTGTTCAATAACAAAATATAAAATGAACAGAAAAATTCTAGCATCCTGACAGGCTAACGCGGTCTGATCAAAAAGACAATGATGAGATTATGAAAAATCCCCTCTTACTAAAAATGCTAAAACTTAGCAGTTAAGAGCCTCCTGAAGACATATTATTGTTCCTTTTTCACAAACAGCCTCTAACATAAATTAAGAATATGTTAGAGTCATGTTCAATAGTGTGAATTTAAAAAGAAATCAAATTGCATTTTTATATTTCTGTTTTTTTGAGAGAGACAGGGCAAGGGGAAGTTAAATTTTGCCTGTCTTTAAATATTAGTCTGTTCCTCAGTTTTCCAAACTCAACAATGGTGACAATAAACATGTTCTTTTTGTCTTTTTCCCAGAGATAAGAATAAATATTCACCTGAATACATTTGAACATTTTATAAAAACCTAGGCTACATAAATTCAGGGTCAGTATTATCATATTGCTAGGAATTTCACAGGTGGATCATAACTAAACAGATGAATTTCCTGCTTTATTTTGTGATTTTCTAAGTACCAAGAAAAATAGTTATTTTTATCTTGTTAGTCTTAACTTTGGTCTCTTATGCTGATTCCTTTCCCAAGAGCTGCACTGTTCCATGGTCATTAGCCACATGTGGCTATATACATTTAAATTAATTAAAAGTAACTGAAGTTGAAAATTCAGTTTCTTCATTTTAGTAGCTGTATTTCAAGTGCTCACTAACCACGTGTGATTGGGTGCCACCATGCTGTAGAGAGAACATTTCTGCCATCACAGAAGTTCTGCCTGAGCACACTGCCTCAGAGGATACCCAAGCTAATGCTCCCATTTCCCTGTAGCCTTAAGCTAGCCAGTGATAGCATTTTAAAGATTAAATGACCTTAGGAGTTATAGGAGGGTGACTTCATAATCAGGTCAGTGTCAGACTAAAGGAAAGCTAAATGTCAGAGAATAGGAATTAAATCAAGATGACAAAAGAAACAGAATACACAATGGCATTGTTATAAAAGGGTAAAACGTGGCCCAGGAAATCAGTGCTTCAGCAGAATTTTTCTTAAAATTTTTACTTAAGGCATTTGTTGCATGTGATTTTCACTAAATGCATCAATCACAACACTGACTTTCTGATGTTCTAATTGGATTTTGAGATGTTCCAGCTAAGTCACACAAAAAATTGTTTCTTAAGGTTGTAATGAACTTAACCTCCGGTACACTGGTAGCACATGTTCAAAACATGTTTTCCTTTCATAGGAGTGAGAGATGCTTCAGAGCTGCTTGAAATTTTTGTTCACAGCTTTTGTATTTATCCTTCTTTAAGTCCTTATACTCACATGTAGTTCTCATGCTTACCATTATTTTGGCTTCTACTGCTTGTATAAAAAGAAATTATGACATAGCATATGTATTATTGCCTAAAAATAAGAGAGTAATCTGTATATGTTTGCATTTAGGTCATTCTGTCCATTGAAGAAGGGTACAGACTTCCAGCACCCATGGGCTGTCCAGCATCTCTACACCAACTGATGCTCCATTGCTGGCAGAAGGAGAGAAATCACAGACCAAAATTTACTGACATCGTCAGCTTCCTTGACAAACTGATCCGAAATCCCAGTGCCCTTCACACCCTGGTGGAGGACATCCTTGTGTAAGAGGCATAATATTTAGTTTTTTTCTCTTGACAATTATAATTTCTTTCAGGCTATAGATAAGAATAACAGGTAGAAAGGAAAAAAATGGACTTGATAACTGTCTAGTTGTTGACTTTGTAGAAACCATATTTCATTTACAGCTGAAAAAGAGAATTATTAACATGAAAGTAAAAATGGACTCTTTTTAAACAAGATAACACATTCCCCTTCTCTTTTCTCTCTCTCTAATCTTTCTGAATTATTTTGTTTATATCTTTTCCTGTTTGGGTCTTTGATATGTACATAGCCTTTTTAAATTGATTGATCCTTCCTTACTTTTAGAAGTAGAGTGTGTGTGTGTATATGTTTGTGTGTGTGTGTGTGTCTGTGTGTGTGTGTGCAGCCCCTTTAATTTTCTTGCCTACTCTATGTTCTGTTCCTCAATTTGAAATGGCAAGCCAGACAGGGGCAATTTGTGAATCAACCCAGAGGAAGGATATTTCCTACTGATATGATCACGGCTAGTTGTTGTTATTCTCCATTCCTAAAACCAGAAAAGAACAGGTAGCAAGACAAGAAAATGGAGGCACTCATACACCATTTTGTAAAAGTCAGTAGACTTGAGAAGATCTACTTACCTCCCTGTGAAGAGCAATTATAAAAGGAAGAGTAGGGGGGGAAAGGACTATCATCTATGTCAGAAAATATTACATTTAATTATCATTAAGTTAAAAACATAATTCTTTATTTAGAATCAATTGGACTTAGAAATAACCAAAGCATATCCAAGCTTACTTTCTTCGTTCAGGGGTTGGCTGGGGGCTATTCAGACGTTCAACTTCAGATCACAGGTTCAAGCCAGCACAGGTTTTCAGTGACAGTAAGGCCGAGGCTCTTCAAGGACTACTTGAAACAGATCTCAGTTCACAGCAGAGCACTTAAGAGTTCACCTCTAAATCACTAATTGGCAGCCTCAGTAAAGTGAAGCCAAGCATGAAATAGCTAGAGATTAAACTATTACTCTGGCCCATCTTCCCTAAAGAAGTCCAACACAGGAAGCAGTAAAGGAAGGAAAGGCACTTCGGATTTTATCATGAAAGCAATGGACAGCCATGGAAGGATTTCAAGCAAGGGAATAGCATGATTACATTTGCATTTCTGGAAGATCGCTCTAGGGATGATTTACACTGTGTGTGCAAAACAAGGAACAAGACTGGAAACAGAGACGGTTTTACATTTTCAGCAACTAAATCTAGAAAAGATCAGGGCTTGACTTCTGATATGGGAATGAGCTTGGGGGTCTGGAGATAAGAGAATTTTATTATTATTATTTCCTAATAAATAAGTGATAATAATAACATTTATTATTAGGAAAACCAACATATCTTAGTCACTGATTGAATATGGAGGAAGGAGGAGAAAAAAATCAAAGATGTTTGTCAAGTTTCTGTCTTATACAAGGTGGCTGATGGTATTTCCACAGAAATAGAGGGAGAGGGACCAGTCTTTGGAATAGAAATGAGACCATTTTGAGCGTGCTGAGTTGCAGGTGCTCGTGGGACATCTAGACGGTTATATTTGTAGGTTGAACCTCAGGTAAAAAGATCTGTGCTAGAGATGTAGGTTTGAAGATCATCAGCATGTAGATCGGAGCTGAAGCTTTAAATGTAGTTAACATAGCCCGCAGAGAATACAAAGAATGCAAATAAATAGTGAAATGGTAGATTAAGTGGAAAAGGATGAAACCCTCTAATTTAAGACATGAACTAAACAAAAATTACTCAAAGGAAACTGAAAAAGAGAAGCCAAATAGGTAATCAGGAAAACAGAGAAGAGCAGTATTGTAGAAGGCAAAAGAATAGAGAGTTTCAAGGAGTGTAATGTCCAAGGCTTCACACAATTGCGGTAAAATAAAATATGAAATGTCTCCATTGGATTCAGCAATGAGACGTTCCGGTGTTCAAGCACAACCTTTGGTACAGCATTTTCAATAAAGTTGTGTAAGGCAGATTAACATAGAGGCAGAGTGAATATGAGGTCAGAGAAAGGAGCGGTACATAGTACCAATTTTTTTTCAAGAAACCTGTCTCTGATGAGAAAGAAAAGTAGTTAGAGGAAACGTTTCTTGGTTTTTGTTCTTATATGTGTTATTGAGGGGACTTGGTCACGCTATAATAGTGAGGAGAAAGAGCTGGTAGTGAGTGTGCATTAATGGAGGAGGATACTGGCATCCATAAACTGAAATCCTTTAATCTGGGCCCCTCCACATCCAGTGCCCATCAACAAAGCTGTCTGACTGTGCTGTAGGTATAGAAGCAGGCAGTAAGAACCTTCCTGAAGAAAAGCAGATAAAGCAATTTCTTCTCTGCTTTTTCAAGATTACAAATGATCATCCTATTTGGAAAGTATTGATGAAGAATGTAAGATGAGAAAATGTCACAACATAAAAAGGATCCAGAGGTCAAGTCAGGATGAGAGGGTGTAGCTGAGGGCCAGAGGTCTGAGATTTAGTGGGCTGGGCTGCAGTCCAGCAGAACAAGCCCATGAGTGGCAAACTGTGACAGCACGGCCACACGCAGGCCAAAAGCTGGGTGCTTTATATAAACTCGACAGCTTGATTCAATTCTAAAGTCTGATCTCTGGGAAACCACATGGAAGTTTTTGTGACTGATTTGCTATCCTTGTTTGTGACAAAGACGTATGTGCTACTGCTTTTGCCGTTAATATTATATACTTTTGTTTGCGAAACAGAAAGAATCAGTGTTCTAAGGTTCACACGCCTGAACCTTTACCAGCATTCTCATTTTCACAGCAACCTGGATGGGTTCCCCTGCTCCACCCTCATACCTCCAATAGCTCCCACCCACCCTGTTCCTGATTCCAGACAACGGAGACTGCTTAGGGACAAAGGCATGGTAGATTAAAGGATGGCAGTATTAGCTAAAGAACGCCTGGTTTGTTTCATGCTCATAAAACTGTGACACTGCTCCTCTGTCCCCAAATCGCAGAGCCCCGTTGTCTGCCCCCGAGTGATGCTGGATTAAGGATACATGACACATGTAGAATTTTCATCTTCTCTCCTATATATCCCTCAAACCTGGAAAGGAGTCCAGGTGTATAATCCACAGCAACTCTTATTAAATTCTCCCGCACTCTCCTTTTCTGCAGCATCCCCAAGCCCCCAGATTGCTCTCACGCTTATATGTTGATATTACTCTCTCATCCGCTAGGTCCCCATGGTTTTTATTCCATTCTAATTGCTTTTTTTCTCAAGACTTACCTGAGAAGCTGATATCCTTTCTCTTGACAGAGTAGGAAGAAGGGAAGAAATTAAAGTGACAAAGGGGTTGAGGAAAGCCATGAAACCCACAGTTTAATAATTTTATACTAACATAGTGGAAATTTAATATTTTATACTAACATGTTGGGAATTTCTTAAACCTACATCTGCAGTCTTTCCTCTCAAAAGTCAGAGTACCTAAATTGAAAAAATGTTAGTCAGAGAAGGCTTTCATTATTTGGTGCAGCAGTTACCTTTTCCTTTCTGCTGATATCCTTGTGCCTGACACGCCCCCGTGGGAATATTTAAACCTCTGTGCAGTTCCCAACATGCCTGCTTTCCCTCCTGCTCACTCAAGAAAGTCTATGGATAGACCATATAAGTGAATGCGGCTGTATTATAACGTTAAATCCAACTAACAGTAAAATGTTCGTTTGCAGAACCACTGTATTAATATAGGCAGTTATCCTTTCAAACTGTGAATTTCAAACTACCCCTGCATTCATTCACTTTACAATAACATCTTATGACTGCCTTTCAGATAATTATTTGTAGCTGTCGAATCATGCACAGCCCTTGGGAGAAAGGAGCCAGCTTGAGGCCAAGGTTGTGCGTAGAACAGCTTCTAGAGCGGCGCCTGGCCATGTGCTTTAAAACACCTTTTTCCCACTTCACTAACACTTAACCCTCAGGACCAACCTTGCTCCCAACCCCAACTACATTCTCAGAGAGTCCAGGATTCTCTCTGGGGTCCTATAGTTTAATACCACTACGTGGTGGCCCTTCACTCAGCCCTGCCTCCCCTGCCCTCACCCACGTTGTCCTACACATTTGTTCTCCATCGTCTTCAACCTTCACCCCTGATTACTCCACACGCCGAAGGGTACTGAGCGCACCAGGCTGTAGTCAGCTGGTCACTGTCCCTCAGGACAGAGTTTCAATATAATGGGAAAAACCATGCTTTCTTTTAATCCCTGTTCCAGGTCCCGAGTGTGTCACCAACAAAGAATTTCACACATTAGGAGCTTCTTGACTGTGAACTCAAATGTGGTATCCAGGGATGGGCAGCAGTTGTCCAGATGGACAGCGCCGGTCTATGACAGTCAGCAACCTCAGAAATAATGTTTTACCCAGGTCAAGACACCTTATTTACTCTGTATTCTTACTACCCACGGGGCCATAATTAGGGATCTTAGAAAACCTTAGCTGTTAGCAGCTGCAGCTGCCAGCTTCTGTAGTACATATTAGTCTATCTTGTAACTTTAAAGCACGTGGCTTCCAGTGACCTGTGAATCATGAAGGTAGGGAAAGGCCCATACCAATATCATTATTGAGAGCCCTCTTCTTTAAAAACTGTGAATAATGCTGTAAGACTGAATAGTACTACCGCTTTCCATTTAGCGAATTGTGCACCAATAATGCTACCTTCTGAGTACAATAACTTCCAACACTTTGATGGAAAGTTTTCTACTCATTTTGAGAAGATATTGTTCAATGCCACCTCGGCAATACATAATCAGCACCTGCTAAATTGTTTATACAGCAAGCCAAGACAACTCGTTTTGATTGTTCTTACTAGCACTTTTAATGATGCTTTTCATAACAGAAATCACTGGCTGGCCAAAAGCAATGTTGCAATTGAGCAATAAGCAAAGTTTTCTGGGAGGAAGATAGAATATGAAAGATGGATAAGAGGATGTGAAACTTCTACTTGCCCATTAGAAAAATCTAAATTCA